ATTATAAGACGTCTACAACGACCACATTTGGACTATAAATAGCCCATACATGGAGGTCCCACGGCCGTCAATACTAGACGTTCATTAGACGTCAAAAAAAGACGTCGCCTGGCGTTACAAAACAACCCCTTCAGTGGACCAAAATTGGACGTCCAAAAACGACATATTAAAGATGTCATTCCGACGTCACTATGCGCAGTGGGAACTGACATTTTTAAACTGAAAATCGACAAAAGAATTAGAAAAAAGGAACATCTGTCGAGTTAAAAACATAGTTAATCACATTAGTAACACACCACCAAAATACAACAAGAATAAAAATTTCCTAACTAAAACAGTGAGCTGTCATAGTTGAGAATCGGCAAACTAATTAGCCTGCGGCGTCTCTCTCAGCCCTATTAAAATACGGGGAAAACATCATTAACAAACCGCACTAAAGCCCTTACTACGTAATTTAATGCCAATAAGTAATTATTTTTTAAACAAAATATATTTTTACTGTCATCAAAAAATAGGGTTTAACTTGAGAGACCAGATCTCACGTCTGCCCTCTACTGCCGCCCTGAGGTAACTACGGGTTTCCCATTGGTCGCAGGATGTGAGATGCTGCGTTCCCTCAATTAACATCCCACCACAATATGTTGGATATGGTTAACATGTACAGTCATTATTTAAAATACAGTAAAACATTAACCTGATAAAAATTACTCCAAAATAAACCTTTAAAATTAAAATAAAGTAAATCTTTTTTGAATGAGCTTATTTAAGAACAACGCAAATGGATATAGTTTAGTTTAGTTGATTTGCTGTTCTGACTGCAGCCTAGTTTTACTTAAGACTAATGTGGATAGCTTCCTGATTTCACTACACGTCTGATCATCAGTGATGCACTGTATGTGATTACAAATTATCAAAACAAGCATATATTCTCTTTTTAGGAATCCTGATATACTTTATATTTGAGCTTAAGTTTTTTTTAATCCACAAAATTTAGGAATAAGATTATCAGATGATGACAGCTGCAGAAAAAATTAAGAGATCACTCTAAATTTTTAAACAAAAACAGAAGGCCACACTGAGGTTGCTTCCAGGTTCAACATTTCTAAGACAGCAGTAACAAGAATAAGGTGAAGCAGGAGACACTGGGAACGACCAGTCTGGATCTACTGAAGGATCCAGTGACTATTCCCTGTGGACAAAGTTACTGTATGAGCTGCACTAAGAGCTGCATTAATTCGTTTCTTTCTCTCAGATCTGACCACATATTTTCTGGGCGTTTTGTAGAGCTGATAGAATGGTGATGTGCTGCCATTCAACACACTTTTTTAGATTAATCTTTATCATCATTACAAAGTACAAGTACTCAGACAGCAAAAAGCACTTTGGCATCTAAACCAGAAGTGAATAATAATGCAAGGTAGCATAAGTGCAAGAAACAACAGTACAATATATAGATGTGTGATTAATAATTGGTTAGAAAATGTACATCTATACTGTTTCTTATTTGTGATTTAAAAAATGCCAGGGCAGAACTGTGGTAACTTGTATGATTTTAAAGACAGAAATGTCTGTGTTTTTGTGACCAGATAATCCATGTCAGGGAGGACACTCTGAGGTAGGACAGAAATTGTAAATTACCATTTCAATTAAAAGGACCTGGATTTCACTTTAGCACCGAGTTCTCGCTGCATGCTGATTGGTCAGTCTCCTATAATCATGCATGTGTCACTAATGCTAATGTGAAACAGCTGGATGAGTCTTTCAGTCAAGGAAACAAACCAGTCAAAGCACATGAAGAACTGAACTATTTAGCCGAGCAAAGGAGCCTTTCAATTTGAAAGTAGTTTGTAAAACCCGAAGTAGATCAAAGTGTCCTCCCTGACATGGATTATCTGGACACCCTAATATAGAGTCTCTTAATTTTTTCCACAGCTGTAGTATCTGAATCTTATTCCTAAATTGTGTGGATAAAAAAAATGAAGTAAGTTCAAATATTAAGTAAATCAGGATTCCTAAAAAAGTAATATATGCTTGCACTACAGACGTAGTGAAATCAGGAAGCTATCCACATATAGTCTTAGTCTTAAAAATAGGCTGCAGTTAGAACAGCAAATCAACTCACCTGTCCATTCTCGTTGTTCTTAAATAAGCTCATTCAAAACAGATTTACTTTGTTTTAATTTTTATTTTTAAAGGTTTATTTTAGAATATTTTTTATCAGGTTAATGTTTTACTGTATGTTAAATAATGACTGTACATGTTAACCATTTCTGGTGTGTTGTGGTGGGACGTTAATTGAGGGAACGCAGCGTCTCACATCCTGCGACCGACGGGAAACCCGCAGTTACCTCAGGATGGCACTAGGGGGCGGATGTGAGATCCTGCTCTCTCAAGTTAAACCCTTTTTTTTATGAGAAGTAAAAATATATTTTGTTTAAAAAAATAATTACGTATTGGCATTAATTTACATAGTAAGGACTTTAGTTCGGTTTGTTAATGATTGTTTCCCTGTATTTTAATAGGGGTGAGATTTTAATAGGGGTGAGAGTTAGTTTCTCGATTCTCAGGTATGACAGTTTACTGTTTTAGTTAGGACATTTTTATTCTTGCATTTTGGTCATTTAATGTAACGTGTGTTACTAATGTGATTTACTACGTTTTTAAGTTTTTAACTCTAAAAATGTTTTTCCCTAACTTTCTTGTCGATTTCCAGTTAATATAATGCGTGGATTGATCATGTTACTCAGTTACACTTTGGGCAGCGCTGAACCGGGACATTAATAGGATAGAATAGGAAGCCTTTATTGTCAGTGTACAGGCAGGAAATACAATAGAGACAGAAATACATAAAATGTTCATATACAGGGGAGGGAAACCCCCTTCCTCACTCGTCAGGATTACATTTCTTACATTTTAATAAGAGGGAAAAACAGCAATTTTCCATATTTGTTCAGTTTGCTGAACCCAGTCACTTATTTTGTCTAACATACGTCACACTTCAGACAGAGTAAAAAGGGTTATACTGTTTAAAAAGCAGAGATTTTACCTTTTTGCCATGGAGAAGCAGCTACATGTGACACTCTGATAAGGTAAAAATGATTCCTCCAGCACACAGTGAGCTATCCCAGCATGCACAGGGACACGGAGGAGTCGTCATAAACCCCAAACCCTGGATAAAGGGGTTCAGTGAATGAGGAGGTGAAGCTGTACAGGAGGGTCAGTCCATCAGAGGAGACTCTGTAGAAGGACAGAGTACCAGCCGCCCAGTCCAGATACACTCCTACTCTGCAGGAGTCTGAGCGCTGTATGGGTATGACAGTCTGTTTATTATTGTGCCGGACAGAGTAACTGTCAGGAGAGCAGAACAGACTCCATGACTTGCCATTGAATCCAAGCCCACAGTCAGCACTGTCTCCTTTCCTCCAGATTCCTTTATAAGTCACTCCTATCATAGCTCCATTTCCACTCCACTCAGCCTCCCAGTAACAGCGACCAGTCAGACTCTCTCTGCACAGAACTTGGGGGCACCGGTCAAATCTCTCTGGATAATCAGGATATGGCTGCCGCTCTTCCCCCCATGTCACCTTCCTGTTCCCCTCTGACAGAGACAGGTGTCTGTTTGCTGTGTTGGGGTCCAGCGTCAGCTGGCAGGAGTCTGTAGGCAAGAGGAAGAGCGATTAATCCCATCACGAAGCCCAGCATCTCCATCATCATCACTGTCACACCTCACACACTCACTAACACAGAACTCGCTCCAATACACACATTTTATTCCTAATATACTCATGTAGCCGCCCGAGTCTGCGGCGCTCCGGCTGCCCCCTGCGCTGTATATGCCACGTGA